CTCACACTGTTGTCACTCTATGTCTCATTTTGTGTGTCCAGCTGAGGTCAGTAGTCTGGTTTCGTGACTCAGTACCAAATCATATCTTCATGCTGTTTAAGTAAAGCGAAAGAACCAGCTCATCTGACCATAACCTACACCTTCTTGGCTCAAATTGCCCTCAATGGTCTTTTGGTGGCCCTGGTTTGAAGTGCATATGATAGTGTTATAGATCATTAATTTGGAAAGGAACTCTTGGGAGTTTAAAATGTCAACAGTTAAGAAAAAACATGCCATTAGAATTAGCTTTGTAATTTGTTGTCAATCAAGATAGATTTTGTTTTTTAGAAAGGTTTGTTTATTGGGGTTTGGATGGCTTGGGCCACTTTCTAAAGAAGAATACAACTCTACAAAGTACTGTAAACCCCATCACACTATTCTATATCATCACCTGTTGCCAATGCCATGTATAGCACTTCAACTTTGAGGTTGGAACAGTTGTACAGCCAGTATATTCCTGTGCCGTTTGCAGACTCTAAACAATTTATGGCCTGTCGTCTCCCCCAAATAATCCGTCTTTAATATTCATAGTTCTGTGTGCCTTATGCATTACAGTCCATATATTATTTGACAAAGCCAGACTGGATTATGTGCCTGAAATTCATGTAAATTTAATAAAGTAGATTTTGATCCTTAAGAGCTCCTATTAATCATTGGTAGACGGACAAATCATTTCAGGGCATTAGCAGAGCCAATACGTTTGAGTAATCTGACACTATTTATATTGGCAGGGAGCAGATGTGCTAAGTTAGAACTGATTTACTCTGTTGCAAATACTGTATAGAATCTTTAAATTAAATAATTATGCGGTGGTTATTTCATCCCAAATGAGAAGGTTTGGTGGGTCCAGTCCACAAAGTATGAACGTACAGTATAATTGAAAATCAGAGATAGATTTCTAGTTATCATCAAAGTACATGGACTTCATGTAAGTGCAAATTTACTTAGTTTTCTTACCGTTTACAATTCATTTCAGAAGAGTGATTGTTGTAGATCATATAACTTGTGGGGACCAAAATAGAGCCTGCCGCAAACAGAAACAGCAGTAATTAAAGTTATTAAGTAATTACATAATATACTATATGTATTTATCCTTGCAACTAGTAAACTAAATATGACATACTCTCCAAGTATATTCTCTGAAACACTTCCAGCTTAAATATTAATCCTAATGGCGAGCTTATGTGTGACCTGACAACATTCAGTACCAGTGTTATCTCCGTCTTTAAGATCCCCTTAAAGACACTGGGGCTTTAACACAAAACCGTTCTCGCAGCTATTTCCTGGTGCGCCGCCTCTGTGTGCCCCCTCTCACCCTGCTCTTCACACCACTCAGAGATTAGTTCCCCCTGAGTGGTTCCAGCTTCGGTAAAATAGCCTCATTAAGAGCGGACGGAGGCGGGCTCAGGGCTATCCGAGTGTGCCTGCGATTAGGGCTACACACAGGGCCCTTAATCTGCCCGCCGCATGATGGACAGTGCAGGGGAAATGGAAACCAGCCATAGAGGGGCGGCCTAGTGTTATTATAGCATAAAGAACAGTTATGAAAGTGTCGGCAGAGTGGGGAGTCAATCCTAATAAGCCCTATAATGCTGCCACAGCCTTTAGAAGAACCTCATAGATACAGCACTTCTCCTGCAAAGACCCAACGTCATAACTTCAATCAAGTGCAGAGATTATGTGAAAGTGTTCAATGAACTGTCATGCCTGTATATAAAACACTAAATTGGCCCTCTTATGTAAATATAACTATACTATAACTCAATTGACTGTACTTTATTCATAAAACTAGTAAAATATGAAGCAATGAATAACAAAATCCCAGTCACAAAAATGTTCACCTAAAGTCTCCAGGGCTTCTAGTTAACTCTCAAACAGAACAAAAATATGATAGAAATCCATAACAGCAGAAAGGTAAAGCCTGGTTCACACGGCAGGATACTTATGCCGATTTAAGACCCGATTCACCCCTAACGACAGTCTTAAAATCGTAAAAAAAGATCAGATGGAGTTTCCTGCCATGTGTGGTGTGTTAAGACTGCACTCGTCGCTCAGAAGGACTCCAGGACATGTTGGATTGTTTTGGCCCGATATCTCTTCGTGTGTGTGGTGTCGGGGACAGACAAGAACGCTGCCAGTGGATTGTGGCGTGGAGCCAACTGAGGTGACGAGGTGGCGAGGAAACACAGTAAAAAGAAATCATAACATGTATGTATAGTCCATGCTCACGTTGTCTCCATTTCTTTGACCATCGCCTTTTCCTTTGATAACACTTTTTCTCTGTTAAAAAAAAAAACTGCAAACTATCGCCACTGCATCCTCCTCGTCCTCCATGATTGTTTACTCTGAAGTTACGCTTGATCTCGAGAGATTTTGTGAGATTTCCGTCTGACCTGGGAATGCTCGGGGGAATCGGTTTGTGTGTGATTTTGCCGTGTGGCTGCGCACCATACACTGTGCGACCAAAGTGTTTAGACCCTTGATTTTTTATCTCCGTGTGTGGGGTCTCTCAGGTTAGGGTAATGGGCCGACAATTTTAAAATGGTCTCGAGTGAAGCAGGCTTACCTTCAGCACACGTCACATCCTGTGGTCTTCCGTGTCCTCACCGCTCCACAGGTTGCTCGTCTCTTCATGTGGATTGAGAGAGATGAGTGTAAAGTAAGTCTTAACACCCACTTTTATTCTTTGGCTTTTAACAAAAATGAGTTGTATGGTCCTCTTATGTTTTTAATTCTATGTATTGTATAATGGTTTTAAACTGTTTTATATCTGTTTGTTTTTTTGTCTTTGCTTGGTGGATCTAAGGATATGCATCTTTTTTTAACATTTTTAATTGTTTGTGCATACACACTCAAAAAAACAACTCTTTGAATGAACATAAAAAAATCATGGAAAGTATTTCCACATAATTAAATTGCTTTCTTTCAGCATTAACCAATTTTGTTAGTCCAACTTGATGTACTTGACTTGGTTCAACACCATATATTAGGGTTGATTTAACGCATTTACTAGGTTTGGGACCTACTTAATGTAGATGTGTTGGATCAATTAATTAATTAGGGTTGATTTAACTTGGTTCTTTGGGCTAGGACTCACTAAATACAATAGTATTAGATCCACTTATTTGACAGTAGTGAAATTACAAAACTATCTTAAGTTGTTCCAACCCAAGTAAAATATGTTAGCCCAACAGAAATGGTTAATGCTGAAAAAAAGCCATTAAATCACATGGAAATACTTTCCATGATTTAATTAAGGTCATTTAAAGAATACAATTCAAGTGTAAACACTTTAAGGTTTGCAGTGAATAGTATCAACAAAGTCTACAGACTGCTTGGTGTCAAGGGTAGAAAGAAAAGACAAATAGTAGATATTGCCATAAAAATGTATTTTTTCAAAAGTGCAACAAAGTTTTACATGAACAGTTGCTTTCCACAGAACAAAAAATTAAAACTTTAATGACAATCTGGTATAATGCTGTACACTGCTTTTTTTGCCAAGAGAATTAATTATAGAACCTAGTACTATGAAAGAAAAAAAAATGTAAGATACTTTTGGGAGTTGGATCCCATCTTTGCAGTCCCCTTTTAAAAGGAATAGGCCACTGTTTTTACATACTGAGATATGTTCTTACCTGAGCTTAGACGAGTTCATCTGTACCTGTCTGGTCTCCACGTGTGCCTGCCTTCCGTAACCAACAAACGAGGTGAAGATAGAAGCTACCAAACTCTTCCACGTTTTCCTTTTTTAAATATGGTTACATGAAGTGTTACACTATAAAGTATAATTACACAAAATTAAACAATGTGGATTTTCTAAGTGGATAAAAAGGCATCCGCGCAGTGACATCTTCACTTTACTGTGCGGATGCCGAATTATTCCTGGTATTATTATTACGCCTTACAATATAGTTCCCCTTTTTATCCGCTTAGAAAATCCACATTGTTTAATTTTGTGTAATTATACTTTATAGTGTAACACTTCATGTAACCATATTTAAATAGGGAAAACGTGGACGAGTTTGGTAGCTTCTATCTTCACCTCGTTTGGAGCTATAGAAGAGAAGAGAGAGGCTAAATGCTAACGCCGTCTGTGCTGTGTTTACGTTACGGAAGGCACACGTGGAGACAAGACAGGTACAGATGAACTCGTCAAAGCTCAGGTAAGAACATATCTCAGTATGTAAAAACAGTGGCCTATTCCTTTAATGTTTTACTTTCCACTAAAATATTTGCATATTTAACATATTTAAACTAATATCAAAAAGTAGAAACATGTAGATGCTGCCACAATTTTTTTTTTTTCTCCAAATAAGTAATAATGCAACAGTTTTTGCACTTGTGCTGTTGAACTTACTGAAACACAGGTAAACAGAAGAACATGTCCATGCCACATTTACTGTAGGGGATTTACAGTATAGAAAACCAGTTCAAATGTAACAAAGAAAAATAAAAGTACTTCTTAACCCCCATCTGAACCAAGCACAGTGTCTCCAGTTTGGCAATACCCAAATCTAAAAGCTTGAAAAAAAAAGTGTCATAACAGCAACAAAATTGTGAAAAAAAAGCAATGAAAAAGTGACAGAAAAGTGTCAAATGCAACAAAAACATGACAAAAACATAAGTGATGGGAATGTAACAAAAAAGTGATGAAAAAACAGCAACAACGCGAGGAAAAAGATCTGTTTTTATACATTTTGTAGCTTTCAAATGAGGCCTATAGGCCAGTGAACTCATGTCGAGAAGCTTTTAGATTTTGGTATAACTGAACTGGAGAAAATGCACTCTGTTAAGGCGGGGGTAAGAGGTTTTGACAATCTGTCAGAGACTCCTTCACATTTAACCGTGATCAGCGCGCCTTTACTAACGGCAAAGCAATGTTTTGAGAACTTGTATCTTCCTGGATAGTCTGTTTCCATCTAGTTCCATTATGATCCTCTGCAATGCTTCAAAGGTATATTTTAGCTCTGGAGGGTAGCTCAAGTTTAGAGCATACACAAGAGCAAGCAACATTGCCACAGCAAAGGGAACATTTACCAACTCTTTGAGTACTTCCACCCCCTCCAGAATGATTCCAACATCCTCAGGGTCATCACCAGGCTCTGCTCCTCCATGTCGCATGACAAAGATTCCAAAGACCGTCGCTGCCATGGCCGTGCCAATGTTTTCGTCAGCCGTCTGACAAAAAACAAAACAAAACAAAAACATTAACAAAGTCGGAGCAAAAGTCTGACCGGAGAGAGAGAAGCAGAGGGAACCGTAAACAGAAAAATACATTATTAGAAGAGTAAAATACCAATACTTTACGCAATTAGACAAAGAATTTGATTGCAAGTTATACTTATTTTTAGTTTTATTTTCTCTCAAATTCCCTATTTTTGTTTGACATTGAAGAAGTTTTATTTGTTTCTTTTGGCACAAAAATGATTCCATACAAACCCAGGAGGCAGTGCACCATTTGAGAGGATACTTAAGACAGCCAACCAGGGTTTCCATACCTCCAAAAACATGCTGGCCGGCCCACATTCGATGCACAGCAGCTCAGGACTAACACTTGGACACAATTTTGTTGTACGGTTGTACAGTGAAAAATAAAGCACTTATGTATTTACAAGATTACGAGAGACGGGTGTATGTCAATGTATGATTACAAAATAGATTTTGAGCAATGATACACCAATCATGCCAGTTGGCCCAATACATTTTTCTTATGTGCAGGTATCAATTTGTAAGTTAAGTGATTTGTTTACAAATACAATGCAGTTGGCAAGTAGGTAGATTTCAAAGAGGTGTTTAAGGCCTTATCTTTCCCAATTTTACAGCTGATTGGAACCCAGAGGAAATCCCATTCATACAAACTTATCAAAATCTCAGAAAACATAAGATAAACATACCGTGTATTCCTTCACCAGCTTCTCCGGATCTTCATTCAAGTAGACACAAAGACCTTTGAGGACGCATTCTCGTCTGACGTCAATACTGTCTGTCTAAGTATGCAGATCAGAGAGGAAATGCAAAACAAAAAACAAACAACGTTAGGAAAACCATCTCAACCTTCTAGCAGAGCTGGTTTCACAAAGTTTAGACAACATTTAACTAGTTTCACAGCTAGTCACAACTTTGAAGCCATTTAGAGATTAGAGTAGTAGTGAATACAGTGGTTCTCCAAAGGATTGTGAACCCGTCATGAATAGTCTGGCCTTTTCATAAAAGATGAAAACTGAAGCTTCTTTCCTGTAAATCTACCCTCTTCAGTTAAATTTATAAAAGTGCACAAGAATTGATTTGAGCATGTCCCTTACTTTTAGAACATTAGCCATTTCCACAATGGTCAGGCTTTCAGTTAATTTCTTAACCCCCCATTTAACCAAGCACATTTTCTCCAATTTGATTTGACCCAAATCTAAAAGCTTCTTCAAAAAAAGCGTCAAAATAGCGACAAAAACAAGACGTAAATGAGGATGAACATGCAGCAAAACAGGCGACAAAGGAGCAAAAAAAACACAAAAAAGCGTCCAAAATGTATATGAAAAAGCAACAAAGACATGAGAAGTGAAAATGAGAACGCAGCAAAAAAGCTACAAAAATAATATGATGAAAAAGTGACGACAATGCGAGGAAAAGTGTCAGATCCGTTTTTAAAGTAAATAAGGTTGTAAGCTCCAGCAGAGAAGCTTTTAGATTAGGGTAAAGCTAAACGAGAGATAGTGTGCTCGGTTTAAGTGGGAGTTAAGAGGTTAAGTTTGAAAATGACAGCAGCATAGGTTGAACAGGTTTTCCATTGTTATCATACCTGGGTTATAGGTACCATGATGTTCTTGATTTTTCTCCCTTGAACACCACCTTTCTTGGCATACACCTTGAGCAGTTTAGCAGAGTGAGCATCCAGCTCAGCGAAGAACTTTGACTGTAGATGCGTTGTTGTGATTCTTTTGAATTCGGAACTCACCTACAACAATAAAAATAAATAAAACAATGGTAAACAGGACTAAAATGCCTATTTTGAGATCAATGTTACATTTGGTATAGCAGTACATTATCTTACTCTTAAGGAGTTTTGCATTTCTCTAATGTAGCACTGTGTTTTAAATTAATATCAGTTTGTTCCGTCAAACATTCATTCTTACCTCACGCACATGGAAGAGAGCCGGCCACCTCGTTTTGAAATCTGCAATCATGGGTGCCTCTCGGACTACCTCTTCCCTTCTGAGTGCGAAGGTCTTGTCCATCATCCTTGCCACCTTGTCGTCGTTATTTCTTTTCTGTACTTCTGACAGGAGGGCCACTCTTATCACTTCTAGCGTCTCTGCAGTTTCACCAGTTGGATAGGTTGGGCAATAATTCACTTCTGCTTTTTTTGGCCTCTTAACACCATAGGCAGGACTGACTTTGCCGTCAGGCTTTTGTTTTAGGGAATTAAGTGTAACTTCAGGGCACCCAAGCCCCCTGAGCTTTGTTCTGTAGTTAGCGAGTTTATATTTCAAGCTTGCCTTCCATCCGCCATATCCAGAGAGAGAACCTGGCTCTTTCAAACATGGATGCTTTGATACAAGAGCTTCTCCCACGTCGTCAAACTCTGAGTCAGAGAGGTACACTTTGTACTGAATGATCATTTCAGCTAAGCCATTAAGAATGGCGGATTTTAGTTTCACATCAGGATTGAACAAAGTTCCGGTTGCTTTGAAAGCAGCATTGGCCTTGTCCAGCTGTAGCTCAGCATCATAGGAGAACCTGGGAACCTGGAAGACCACTGGCCATGCAGTTGATCTTGAGGAGGTGGACTCGGGAGAAGATAGTATGTCTGTATCAAAAGAGCTACCAGATGAAACGGAGGAGTCATTTGGAGAGCAGGACGACAACGAAGGTGAGGAGGGAGGTGGTGCGGAGCCACCAGGTTGAGCATCTGAAATATAGATGACCTTAATGGTACCTTTGTCCTGGACATCCGATATTGACAGCAAGTTGCTAAATTCATTCCCAAATTCTGCATCCATGAATTGAAGCCTGAAAACCCCTTCAATTCCACACTGTCTCTTAATTTGCTGTGCGAGTTCATTAACAGACTCTGGAATCCCATCTGGAAGAATCAATCTCTGGGAATTGTTGTCTCCTAGTATGATTCTGAGTTTCACCGGAGCAGCCATTACACAACAGACTGTGGAAAGAATTAGGAAAAAGAATATTGTAAGTTTAAACAAGAGTATATCTGAATTTTTACAGCAATAAGGACAAAAGACTCGTCTCTTATGCATTATCTCTCATCTGTTCTCTCTCTCCTCTCCCTCCCTCTGAAGGTTACTCCACTTTATTACTCTGCGTATACATTTGCTTGAAAACTGCAACTCCCAAACATACAGGCAACAGTTTCATTACTCTTCAAATGAGTTCCAATATGTACAAAATAATCCTTTTCTGAAGGCAGATCACAACAAATGACAACTGAACGTTGACAATTCCAGCTGCTCCTGAGAGTTTTGCTTAGGATGGACTCTACTTAAATGAATGTGAAGAGCATTCCATGTCTTAAAAGTACATGGGCACTTTGTGTGTGGACAGGGGTAATGTTGCCTATGACGGTGCTGTAGTCTCATATGTTTTAGTAGCTCAAATCTACCGGATAGAGATACGTTACACTCCTTACAGTTCCACATGTCCTCACCTAAAGAAATTCACTGTTTCAGGTAGACGAATTTTTCGAGCTGGCACTTATGCAGTTGAATGGCAGCAGAGACAGGCGTGGCCGGCAAGGACACTCTTGCGGTCAGAAGCTGCTGTAATAAATTGAGAACAATTATTTATTAGATCAATTAATTCCCATGAAAATAGGCATGTAATCACTGACAGACGTGGATCTACAGGTAGCTCACACAGACTAGGAATTTATCAATAAACAGACACAATGAGTTCATAACATAACCTCTTAAAAATGATATTACAATGTTTTCATGTTAATGAGCCATAAATAACATGATGATAAAAGTGCTCTCGTGACTGATGCAACACGTTTCTGAATGTTTTATATCATTGGTAATATGAAATGGCTTTTCTTGTATTTTGAGTCATGTTATCAAATATTTTCAAATATGATATTCTGTTTAAGAAATTAAGAGGAAATTGACTAATTATTCCATCTCATTTTTTATAGACTTGTACACCAAATTAATAATTAAGTTTCTTTACTCATTTACATTTCCTTGAGCAAATTCGGATTAAGGAGAAAAGTTATAGCTGACAGAATCGAACATATGCATTTTATTCAATAATATTTATTGCACTGTTCAGAGACAAAACATTCCATGTCCAAAATGTACTCATTGCCTGTGCTGTATTCATTTAATGAATAGTACTTATCACTAATTGGCTTCTTTTTGCTTTAGTACAACTGTGTGCATTTCCCTTTACGTGTGTTTTGTAGACTAGAGCAACTTGGAGAGAGGGCAAGCACGATTTGCGACTCACGGCAACTTCCGGTGACTCGCGTGACTCAGGCGCTGTGAGCCGCGACTCAGCAGCCAGAAGTCGTGACTCACGGTTAAAAATAACACAATTCTTTGCTTCTCAGGGGTATCTGGGAATGATCAATGAGACAATATGGATCTGGAGGCATTGTTTACAAGTAATCAGTATGTTAGACACTCTACATCAGCTAGTATGTGTTTGTATAGCAGTCCATGTCCGTTAACCACTGACTCAGGCGCTGTGAGCCGCGACTCAGCAGCCAGAAGTCGTGGCTCACGGTTATCAATTTAACTTTTTAGGGGTATCTGTGGATTATCAATGACACATTGTGGATCTGGAGGCATATATTTACAAGTAACCAGTATGTTACACACTCTTCATCATCTGGTATGTGTTTATATAGCTCTCCATGTTCGTTAACCACTGACTCAGGAGCTGTGAGTCGCGGCTCAGGAGCTGTGAGTCGCGGCTCAGGAGCTGTGAGTCGCGACTCAGGAGCTGTGAGTCGCGGCTCAGGAGCTGTGAGTCGCGGCTCAGGAGCTGTGAGTCGCGACTCAGCAGTCAGAAGTCGAGGCTCACAGTTAAAAATACCACAAATCTTTGCTTTTTAGGGGTTTCTGGGAATTTCTATTGAGACAATATGGATCTGGAGGCATAGTTTACATGTAATCAGTATGTTACACACTCTTCATCAGCTGGTATTTGTTTGTATAGATCTCTATGAACTGTTCACCACTGACTCACAGCTCCTGAGTCACGGCTCAGGAGCTGTGAGTCGCGGCTCAGCAGTCAGAAGTCATGGCTCACGGTTAAAAATACCACAAATCTGTGCTTTTTAGGGGTATCTGGGAATTATTAGGGGCAACAGTGACTCAATTGGCAGAGCTTTGGTCTTTGGACCTAATGATCGTGGGGTCGTGCCCCCACAACCACCTGCTCCCACTGAAGCAAGACGCCCCATCGTGGTATCTTATATAGAGTCATGGGACCTCATGAATGAGTATGAGTACAAGTATGTGATAACGGCACAATACTAATATTGGTATTGGTGCATCCTTAGTAAAATAAACAGACTATAAAAGAAATGTCAGGTTTACAGTCATAGTGCAAGTGGTTGATTAAGTGATACAGGCCTAAATACAGATTATTACATGTATTTGCAGGGCTTATTTCATATTCTAATGAAAAATACTTTTTAGGAGTATTTATGAATTATTAATGTATCTGGATGAACATTTTCCATGTCCTCAGTGCCTCATACATACTTTACCAGCTGATATGTGTTTGTATTACTCTATTGTTAACAAGTGACCTACGAGACATAAGTCAGGACTCGTCTGCTGACACCAGGGGGCGCTGTCTAATCTCATGTTGAATCCTGCACGACGTTGGACATCTCGCTTGCAATTTAAATTTCACCAAAATATTGAGGTAAGTTATTTTGTTTCGTTTTTTGGAGTCTGTCTTTTAATCATTTTAACATTTTAAAGGGCATGACATTTAAACAGGAAAAAAAAAAACTTGTGTAAAATTCCTTGGTTGTAATTCTGTGGCTTCAAAGAATACACAAAACTTGCAGATACAGAGCAGAGTGTATACTCCATAGGACAAAAGATGAGGCAAGGTGTATAACACAGGTTTGGTCACATAAGAAATAAATAACTAAAAAACCACTGAGACATTAATATTTGTTATTTATTAATAATGCTAAAGGCATTTGAAAAATACAAACAATACACAAACAAACACAATTATAAAAGCCACTTGTACCAATTTGTCCTTATAGTAAAATAATGTGGATGACAAAGTGAGCCAAGAACCCAGAGTAGAGATTTCTTTGTCTTTGAACAAACACAAACATCAGGGCATTTCATTTCAGGGCATTTTCATTCTAAAAAAAATGATTATTGTTAACTTTGGAGGATAGTGTGCTGAGGTGGACTTACTATTGTAAATAGAGAATTAAAGAGAAAGACCCTAATGACATAATTTTATATGATCATGTTACCGAACCCAGATGTTCAAAATACAGAATTCAAGTAACTTCTGTTGTGGTGAAATGTTTGAAGATGCTTATTTGAGCCTTTGGTGGCCCAGCGGCTGTATGACTGCTGCACGGCACTTTCCCTCATAACTGCCTCCGTGATCATCCTGAATCAAATGTTTTAGGGTTTCCAAAAGTGTAGCTCCCTTATACCCTTTAAACATCTGATCCTGGAGCATTATACAGGATACAAATGCAGTGGAAATACAGGTGTCATGCTGCAGCCATCAAGACATGTTTTTCTCCTTAATGCCTCTTTTCTCTCATTTCTTTTCTGTGCAAAAATTAAGTGTAGTTAACCGGTTATTCTTGAATTACAGAACTACTGAGACGACACATCAAGATGAGCCACACACAGAAGAGAAGGAAAACAAACTTTATAAAAAAACGCACAACGTAATTCACTTTAATAGACCAATTATAAAGAATAAAGATTTGGTTTAGGTTTGATACATTTCAGTTTTGCACTTGGCTGTAGCTAATACATTTGCACACATTGCACTATAACATGAACATTTGTTTCCCCACAACCACATGAGCTGTTACTTTGTCTCCCAATACAGGAACATATACAGCTCAGTCATGAATAGCAGCAGAGTGGTGCCGCACATCACTGGAAGGACATGTTGAGCTACGTGCTAATGTGTAGAATAAGCCCACACCTGTTCACTGTCAATCAAAAAGGTGTTGCTGCGGGTTCGAAGTAGTAGGGTCATTCTGCGACCTGCA